TGTAATTTTTTGTCAGTTAAAAAAAAAAAAGAAAAAAAAAGTCAAATCATGATAGATAGCATTTCTTGCTCATCACACTGGAAATGTATTCTCAATTTTGCACGCACTGCATTATGGGATGCAGTACTCCACAGTGCGCTCTAGTTGTATACTGTACATTTTGGCAAATGTAGTTGTGTGGGCATTTCTTGGCATAATAAATGGCATATTTTGCTCAGTATACATACTGCATACTATTTTCTTTAAACAACAGAAGGCATGCCACTCCAAACATTCAGGGAATCACGAGATATATGTACCCTATAGTTGAGCTCCTCTGAGACCTTCAGGACCAGACCGTTCCTCTCATGCCTTCTCTTCAGCTCGTCCCACAGAACCTCCAGCTGACTCAGAAACTCCTGGATCTTGATGCTGCCCGGATGCTGAGCCCTCACCAGACTGTAACCCTCCTGGATGGAAAACAAGAGGTTTGAATTAACATTTTTACATTTAAAAAAAAAAATGATGCAAATATAATTTACATTTGTTAATTAAATAATATTCATATTATTTTAAAAGTCTGATTTCTAATTAATATTAATAATATTAAACTAAGTATAATTTTAGTAATTGTAATTGTCATTATGGTTATGGGCTAATATTAATTTTTATTAAATATGATAATGATATTCATTTTTATCATATTTATCAGTATAATATAAATATACATTTTATAGCATTGCTATACGTTTTGCAAAATGCAATAAAACCAAGCTAGTGTTAGTTTTGTTTTGTTTTTTTAAAGAAAACAAGCAGTTAGTATATGAATAGAGTGCAAGTCTAAAAGGGGCAAGTTTTTTTTTTTTTTTTTTAAAGAATAGAATTAGAATAGAGAGTGCTGAAGTTACAGGTGTGTTTTTAGCCGATTCTTGAAGATGGCTAAGGACTCGGATTGAGTTGGATATACATATATATTGGATTAAGTTTATATATACATATATATATATAACTTTAAAAGAAAAGACGGAATCACTCGCTGCACTTGATTAAACTACTGTTTATTTGCATCTTTGTTCTGATTTTTAATAACAAAGATAAAATAAAAATAGCTATATTGTGATTAATAATATAGTAATTATTATTATTAAGAAAAGAATTGGAGGAAAATATGCAACGTTGCTAGGTGATTTTGTTTTGGAATCTTCAGAAAACTTTAACTTGATTTTTCTCTGAATCAGATCTGCTGACTCTATCGCCTTCCAACGGCTGTAGCTCAGTCATTTTTCGTCTGATTCCAACAAGTCATATATCATTTTGAAGGTAATTTATTGGAGAATGTGAAAATAAAAATTACTAATTTTTGAAAAGTTGCTCATTCCGACTCATTTTGCCAGCAGGGGTCACAAATCGTAATCGTACACATTTTCATTGCTTCAATTTAATTATGATTAAAACTAGAAAATTTTAATAATTAAACAAAACAACAAAAAAAACTTGAGGATTTATTCTCTCAATAAAATGTGGCATGCAGTAAGCAATCACTGCAATACACTTCTACTTGTTGGAAAATGTAGCTTAATTTTATTTTTTTTACACAACAACTTAAGTCATGTTTAATTTCCAAAAAGTGCATTACCAATAGACAAATGTTAGTGTACGATGAGGTATCTATGCACACTTGTTGTGTAAAGCCAGTGAACCTCCCAGCGCTAACACACTCTGACAGCAGGGCTCACCTTCTTGACCAGCTCTATCCTGGCTCTGTTGGACAGGATATCCTGTTCCAGTGAGGCCTGACGCCTCTTGGCTGCTTCAAAACCATTCGGTCCGGCCAAACTGCAGATCTGAGTGGCCATCGCACCACTGTCTTTGAGCCAGGAGAGAGTCTGTGGAGAATACAAAGAGAACATGAACACAGCGGCTCTGCTCAAAACACCTAGAGACTCCCCTACATAGACAGCAGTCTACTCCACATGAACTGCACTAGAGATGCACCTTTGACTCATTCCTATAGTTAGACATTAGCTAACAACACAACACTCTAATGATCATAATACACAGCACACACAAATGTAAAATAATAAAATAAGCTACATTTTCACTAGAACTATTTTTAATGATACTTAAGTTATTGAATGAATTCTAAAAATATTAATTCTAAACCAAGTTTATTAAGTTTTAGTATATAATAATAATAATATTAAACTAAGTATAACTTTATAATAATATAGCAATAATAATAATAATTTGATAATGATATTTATTTTAATAATATTTATCAGTATAATAACATTTTATAATATTGCTATTTCAAATCATAATTAAATTATGTATAAATACATACTAGTTAATTGTCACGGGTGCACACACACGAGGGACGAGGAGACGCTGGAGAATACTTTACACAAGACTTTATTCGTAGGAAGGAACCAAGGGAGACGAACTCAGGAAGACGTATACAGGAAGACCTTCAACATCGGACAGAGAACTAGGGACTGGGAACACTTTATATACACACACACACAGGAGGAGGGGATGACGAGACACACCTGGGAGCCATGACACATCAAGGGAAACACCTGGGAAGAAATCAACTTAATTAATCAGGGGAGGAACAGGAAACAAACCAAATAAGGGCATGGGAAGGCACATGGGGAGCAGGACACACACGAAACATGGAACAGAGTCTGACATTAATATACATATAATTTCTGAAAATAAAATTGATGGAAATATAATTTATATTTATTCATTACATAATATTCATATTGTTTTAAAAGTCAGATTTGTAATTCATATTAATACATTTAAACAAAGTATAATTGTAAAAAAAAATAGTAATTCTCATTACGGTTAATGTAATTATTGAATTTGATAAATGGTATTAATTTTTATATTTATCAGTATAATACACATTTATAATATTGCTATTTTAAATGAATTAGGATATATTAGTTAATATAAACAATTTATATAAAAATTCATGCAAATTAAATTTAAAATAATATTTTAAGTCCGATTTCTAATTAATAATAAACAAAGTATAATTGTAATATTCGTTATTTATTATTATTATTGATCACTACTAATTTATAATATTTAGTTATTATAACACTTGATAATTACAGTAATTTTATAACATTTATCAGTATAAAAAATTTAATTATATATATGTACATCAATAAATAATATATAAATAATATATATAATGAAAAAACAGGAAGACATATTTCTATCAGAAAGAGATGAGAGATCCTTATTTAGACCTGGCTGACTTCTGAACCGCTGGCTGCTGGCGGCGTTTTCAAGCCAGAACAATTCCTGGAAGTCACATACACTAGCAGATCCTCAAGCAATTAGCAAAGACCCATCGATCAACCGCTCATGAGTTTATTCCAGAGGAATCTGAACTCTCAGCTGAACCGCAGTGAAGAGCTCCTCTGTTCTGCTCTGACTGGACTCAGCGGGTCTTTTCGCAGCATAAGCGATTGTGTAACTCTTGTGTAATGGTGAAGTAATAAATAGGCACCTTGTCTGCAGAAACGGTGAACTTCTGGAGTTGCGTGTGGAGCGGTGTGTGGCCGCTGGACTCGGGCCTCGGCGCGTTCCCGCTGTAAAGCCAAACACAGGACCTCTATTTAGCGTGCATCTTTAATTTGCATGTGTGCAAAATTTTTTCCGAAGTAAAAAATGTCACCTTTCAGCGGCCGTGTGGAGTTTGAGGGCTGCCATCTCTCCTGCATCCCGGCTGTCTGAGGGCTTCCCGCAGCGCTCGGCGTCTCTCCCGGCCTGCGGAGGGAAACACAAGCTGCGTGTTCATCCAGCAGACTACGCCTACAACGGACCCTTGTGTGCTTGTTTAAAACACGGTGGTCCTCCGTGATACTGATGAGGTTGGCTGGTAAGCCGGGCCTGAATATCAATCAGCGTATGGACAGTGTGGATGTAATCCCAGAAAGAAAGCCAATTACCTTTTCTGGAAAGTTACAGTGAGCAGTGCTGTTAAACAGGCTCCAGCGTCACATGAGAAAGCCAACATGGGAAAATAATTATTCTGTATTAATCGCCGTCATGTCTCGAGTAGAAGGTCACTGCTTTTTCATGCGCATTACATCAGCTATGAACAACATGATGATTAGATGACTCTAATAATCATAACAATATACAGCACGCACAAGTATTGGGGAAAATAACCAACATTTTTTATTAGAATAACTATTTTTATTGATGTTAGGTTATTAAATAAACAACATTTATCTGTGTGTGTGTGTAATTCATATAAATGTATGCAAATAGAATTTATATTTAAGATTTCTAATTAATATTACTAATATTAAAAAGGCATAATTAAATAATAACTGTAATTAATAATGAATAATATTATTTATTAATATTAAATATGAATTATTGTTGATGGTATTCATTTTATAACATTTATCAGTATAATATAATTCATGTTAAAGTTGTCACGGGTGACACACACGAGGGCCGAGGAGACGCTGGAGAACACTTTTAACAGGACTTTATTTGCACCAAGGAACAAAGGGAGACGAACACAGGAAGACGTTCACACGAAGACCTTCAACATCGGACAGAGAACTAGGGACTGGGAACACTTTATATACACACACACAGGAGGAGGGGATGACGAGACACACCTGGGAGCCATGACACATCAAGGGAAACACCTGGGAAGAAATCAACTTAATTAATCAGGGGAGGAACAGGAAACAAACCAAATAAGGGCATGGGAAGGCACATGGGGAGCAGGACACACACGAAACATGGAACAGAGTCTGACAATCTGAAAGCAGGTGATGGAGATTTACTACTAATCACGGGACCGGCTTTAC